CTAACCTCGCCGCCACGGTCAAGGGCCTCCTCGAGACGACCTCTGCACAGTCGCTTATTCATACATGGGTGCAGGACCAACCGCACTACCTGCAATTGCTTACACCCCTGTTAACCATAAGCGAACCGTACTTGAAAGTCTTGCAGGCCCCACGTGTACCAGACCGCGACCTCCTTATCTATGTGACTGTCGCTGATTCAGGACTGTCCATGGTTTCGGGCAAGAAGCGCAAGCTTCGCAAGTACGACTTTGCGGAGCGTTTGGATGCCTCTCGCCCGGCGCGCGTCGGTGCATGGAGGTCTGAAATGCTTTGGGGCAAGGGCTTACAACAGCTGTGCAAGCGGTTGGCCGCCCTCATCGACGAGGTGCGTACCGACTACCCAGCAGCCACCATCATTCCGATGATTTACTGGAATGGCAACGAGCTCGTTGGGAAGGACGGCCTCGAGCCCACTGGTACATATCCTTACGACACCCCCATCGGAGACGCCGAGCAACTTCTTGCCGACTCCAAACGGCACCTGGCTTGGACCAGGGATTTCGCGGCCCGCAAGGGCTGCGCATGCCTTGGAGTCATGACCGGCGCGAAGAGCTATCTCTACGGCTTCTCTATGATTTGGGACCGTTTCATGACGGAAGTCCGGGATTACATCATCGGCGACCCCAACAATATGTTTGTGTATGTGGATGCCACACCCTTCGTCGAGACCATCGATTTGCTGGACAGGTATCATATGTGCTTCAGTGATGACAATATCACGAAGACCGTCCAGTTTATGCGCGGAACCCATCACATGTTGTATATGCTTTCCATCTTGCGCCCCGCAATGGGCAGCGTAGCCGAGCTGACACGTTCGCATGATTGCACCATGCGTCCGATCGATGTGCTCGAGGTGCGCCACCAAGAGGATTGCACAGTCAACGTTGAGGTTCTCGCGTACTGCAAGGAAACGCTAACGAAGTGCGGTGTTTCATTGTCAGAGATGATTGGGCTCCCTTTCACTCGTGAAGAAGTGGAGGTCCGGCAGCCCCTCGATTTCGCCCCTGTCGATCCAGCCGAGTTTGCAACTTCAGGTGAGCCTTCCGGTGCTGATGTTTCCGAAAGTGTTCGCCCGGCGCAAGCCGGTGCAAACCCAACGAATCCGTCAAGACAATTAGAGAGTCCCACGGTAAAAATTACCTTTCACGGCAATTCCCATTTCGCGGCAATTAGCGACTTCTTAATTGACTTGCAAAATTAACTTTTCACGGCAACGGCAGCGGCAACGGCAAAAAAACGCGGCAACAACAACGGCAACGGCAACGGCAATTTTGAAAGTAGTTACTGCGAAACTACTGCGCTGGAGCTAATTCCGCAGTAGTTGGGCAGCAGTTTGGAACTAAGTACTGCGAAACTACTGCGCTGGAGATAATTTCGCAGTAGTTTGGAAGTAATTACTGCGAAACTACTGCACCTTGGCAAACAGCCACGGCAACAGCCACGGCAATTTCCCCGTTAAAAAAATAACTTTTCGCGGCAACGGCAACGGCAACGGCAACGGTAAAAAAACTGCCCACGGTAAAAATTAACCTTCACGGTAAAAAAATGTCTTGCCGCCGCTAATTGTCTTGACGGATTCACAGGGAAGGCGGCTGCGGTGGCACAGAGGGACGAGGCGACGAGCAGGCCGGTACCACTCGACTCCTACGGGAGGAACGTGACTGGAGGCCACTACGATTGTTGGGTTTATAGCATCCATGATGGCGTGAAGTATGTTGACTATGGTGAGGGCCCCAAGCGACTCGAAATCATCAAGCAGCCCTCCTTTGATTACGACCCTTCCGTCAGGAGAATTAGCAACGAGTACCACAGCTCCCTGACGTGCATCTCAAAGATCCTCCGTGGTCGTGGGACAGAAGGATGTGGGTACGTGATGGATGAGGACGGCTACATGGACCTTGAAGATTTGGGACTCGCGCTTCGCAAGGAGCTGCGACATCCCATTCCATGGAATGTTCAGAATATCATGGACATCTTCAAGCTCGACAAAAAGCTTGGTTGCCCGGACGCAAGCCGGTGCGGAGACGTCCCATGTTCTCATTGGATTTTCAAGATCAAGGCCTCTCAAGGCCACGAGGACTGGCTCCAAATCGACGACTCCGGCATCGCGAAGGAGTGGTACGTGAACCCGGGGACTGACCTCGGGCGCTGGTCTGGCTGGAACGTCTGCAGCAACCCTCCTACGGTGCTCTATCATCGCACCGATAAGCGGAACTTCGCCAACATTATGCGAAACGGACTGCTTCCAGGAGGAGGTGACCAGCACGAGACAGGCAGACCTCACGTTTTCTTCGCTGACATCCCGAGCACGAACGAAAATTACATCTCAGGTGTACGTGCTAACAAGCCCTTGGAAATACAGATCGACCTCAGGATGGCCATTCGCGCAGGGCTTTGCTTTTTCAAGACAGAGAGCGATGGCGTCCTCACGCGCGACAAGGTGCCCAACTACACGATTATTTCTGTATTGGACGCCACAAATGGCGATGTATGGTACACTCGCTCTGAGCAATCGGATGCAGGTGCACCAGCTGAGGCGACTGAGGATGAACCCCAGGGGATGAAGCGCGACCAAGCTGTGGTTGATGATCGGTCTACAGCACTGGAGCGCATTGCTACAACCCGCACCAATGTGGCGTCTCCTCGCGCCCCGCAAGGGGAAGCGAAGAGACAGAAGACTTTCAACCCAATGGAGAACGTTGAGCTGAATGTCGCCACGTGCCCGGTTTGCAACAACAGTGTGTTCGAGGGGCAGGTCCACTGCTCATCATGTGGGCAGTTGTCACCCCTCAATCCTCGCCTGTTGAAAGAGCAGCAAAAGAATTACCTTGTGCAGCGTTCCAATTTGCTGAAGAAGATGGGCCTCAGCACCCATGTCACAGCTCAGGTTTTGGCATCCGTGGGAACTTTTGACCTCCGCGAGGAGGATCGGAGTAGCATCCTTCGTGGCTTGAACTCCCCGGACAGTGCTGTACTTCAGGAGGCCCGGAAGAAGCACAAGTCCGCCCTGAAGAACGGCTACCACTCTCTGCTTGATCGCTATGAACTCGACCTTCAATACAGGGTTCGTATGCTTGAGGTGGGCCGTCGGGATGCGGATATGCTCCGCATGGAGTTGTGTGCAAACCTCGTCTTGGCTGCTCCAAAGCAGTCGCAAGCCCAGCGCACTCTGGGAGTTGGCCTTGGATCAACTTCAGAGTCGCGAATCGCAAGGCTCGCGTACGTGAAGACGGAGTTGGAGTTCTTGCCCAGTGAATTGCAGGATGCACTCAGTTCCCGCTGGATCATTATGTTCCAAGGTATGCCATACAGTCCTCGGGCTTTTGTGAATGTTGTCTCCGAGCAGGACAAGCCTCGCAGCATTGGGTGTTGGAATGGCATCATCCATTTGCGTAGCAACGCCCTCGAGGACCTCCGCCACGAAATGGACTGGATATTCAGCCAGAACGAGCGCTACGCTCAGAACTCGATCGAGTTTTCGAGGAACGAGAGCAGCAAGCACCTCGCTCGCAACGCCGCTCGCTATGCCGATGCTAGTGCTCCCGCCGCCCGCGAGGGTGAGCATTGGAGCCAAGGCAGCTGGCAGAACTGGTCCGGATGGAGCGGATGGGACAACAGTAGTGGAAACTACTCTACGTGGCAGTGGCGCTAAAAGCGCAACTGTCATGGTTTGCATGTGTCAATGGTTCCCCTGACCTCTCCCTCTGTTGTGTTACTGTTTGGCTGCTTTGTGAAAGGCCCCTTTAACACGCAGAGGGGGGTGAAGAATTTGATCGGTCAGTTTGGGGTTTTACATCCATTGCATCCGCAGTGTGGCTGTTCAAGCGTGAAAATGTGCGAGCAGCGCACTTGGACGGTTTGTTGTTTCCTTTTGGGCCCCAAACCGATAACCCTTGAATCTATACTCGTGCTTACGTTTCTTTCTCACACACCAGTTGGAGCACGAAGCTCAGCAACATTGTGGAAGTCACATTGATGCGTCCCATTCACGGCAACCTTTAGTGAAAGGCGAAAGATTGGTGCCCTACGAAGCGAAAGCTGTGATAGTTCGGACGGTGCGGTTCAAGTGTGTTGTTCGAAACAAGGGAGCAAGTGGCAAGAGTGCTGCTGCCGGGCGTATGTTGACAAGGTTGGAAGTTAGATCTCCAGCATCTTGTGTGTTGCGTCCTTTTCAGCCAAGATGTGTAAACACGTGTTGCGCTGGCATGGCACTTGGCCAGCAGCAGCGCAACCCACGAAGATACTGCTTGTCTTTCACCTTTCCTGACGTGCTGCTGGCGTGCTACTGGCGTGCTGCCTGGCGGCGTGCGTGGCGCAGCTGCGCTTGCCTTGCGCAGGAGTGCAACTCAGAGGAAAGGGTTTGCCAGCGACCGCGGTTGCGCGCTGCGCTGAGAGCTTAGACCGCGTTTCAGGCATTGCTCGACACATTGTTTTGCCCGCCCTCTTGACCATGCTGAAGAGGCAATAGCGCTCGCTTAGCGGAGGCTCGCTGTTTGCTAATTACAAGCTACTCCAGTTCCCGTCAAGTTTGATGGTCGAGGCATACTTGCAATCTTTCCGCGGGCTTCGGCCCAACTGCCAAAATTTCCAACCAAGAACAAAATGCTGGCCTTCACGCTGCTGTCCTGGCTGGTCAGCTTGCATCTGTGCTAAAACATGCTTGCTGGCTCTATGAGCTACCAATATAGCGTCTCCTGCTCAGAGGTTTGGATTGAATTTTGGCGTGCGTTTGACGTCAGTTGGTTTTCTGGTCAATGCAAACTTACCTGGCAGGATTGCCTGTTTGAGTCGCAAGTCCATGGTTTCAAGTACGAGTCCCCTGTCATGTGTGCAGAATTCACCAGGTAGAAGGCGGAAGTAATCTGTTCCCAGTACAAATATACATGTTTGTGTTTTACCACCATCACTGGTAGACAAATTATTTCATAGGCCAAACTCCCCACGAGGGGTCGTTCGCCAAATGTCCATATCGTTCGGGAATGCGAGTAAAATTGACACTCGGTCTTTTTTAGGCTCATTTGTGGTTTGGAAGCCCAGACAGCCAACATGTCATTGAGCAGCCTGCCATAGGAAAGGGCATGAAAACCATTTCTTGTAGACGAAATCCGTGGCTTTTGGCACCATAGGCTGGATGGTCGAACGTCCCCATCGCCGGCTTCTACGCCGGCACCCAGGCGTACTTGATCCGGCCTTCGGGCGCGCGCAAGATGCTGGAGTCTTGGCCAGATTTGCGTGTTCAGATCGCAACTTGCGTAGTTGAGTAAGGGAGATGACATTGAGTGACGGAGCTGACGGGACGCTGACTTTCTAGTAAGATCAGTCTTGGCCCGATTCTAAACTTTTCGCAGGAAACCTTTCTGAGTTGACTTCCCATCCACTCGCACGCAGGAGCCTTCTTGAACCAGAAGACCCGTTTTGGCCACGAACCTTCTGGACGCGAAACCCTTTTGGACATGAAACTCTCGGTAAGCTGCATGTTCCAAGGAAACGGACAAATAGTTTGGGGACTTAGCTCCGAACCAGGAATATGCAGAGACATTCTCTTTCCAAGCTAGATGCCGGACTGTCAGGTGGCCATCTCTTATTGTTGACACTATCAATCGACTCGGCAAAGTGCCAACTGAATTCGGATATTACTCTTTCTCGCTTTGGTTGGGCTGTGTGGGTGTATTCCAATTCCAGTTTAGTTAATCAAGGCCAAATCTACAATCAGGATTGCATTCGGAGTGTGCCTGTGATGGCGCCTCGTGCTGGTTGCACTGAGGAGAACATTCGAGGGAAGCCGTTTCAGGACATTGACATGACGATGATGGCTTCAGTCAGCTGCCCAGAGTGTTTGCTTCTCACCTTTTTGCAAGCTTCTGCGCATCTTGCCAACAAATGGATGGTTGTACCATGATTCAGGACTGTTCTGGAAGGTTGATATGGCTGTGGGTCAAAACTAATGGTACCATTTTGGGGTAGGTGCACCAACCATTTTAGTCTATGTTGGTGGGGATTGGGATGTTCACTGGGGGTTCGATTTGGATTTTGACCTATGGCCATATTTGCGCCTGATCGATTCTCCAGGTGAAGAACTACGTGTGGCGCAGAGTCCTGGTCCAGGATCGGCCTGACAAGGATCTGGACCTCCTGCAGACCAGCGCTGGCTCCGGAGCGAAGACGGTGCCCGTCTGCAACCGGGATCCGCCCAGCGATCAGTTCTGGTAGGAAAAAGCGGCGGTGACAGTCGAGCCGAGGGGCAGAAGGGGGAGCCATGGGCAAGGAGGGAGCCATGGGCAACAGACAGCAGAAGGAAACTGAGTGCTTTTTGTGCGCCAGGAATAATCAGTGTTGAAGCTGCCGAATACATGAGCTCACATGTCGCCAGAGTTAACGAGTCCAGAGCAACCCATCCACACACTGACATATATATATATATATGTACATACGTTGTAATATGGTCATTATTATATATAATTATATATACACACTTTGAGCGCGTTTGTACTGTATAACAAGATGTATGAAGATCAGCTCTGTGTGTGCGTGTATCCATGTCTGTGCTGCATCCATTTGCACCGCACTTTTTCTGTGTACGCACATATTCATATATGTAAATACATGCAGTTGCACACATACAAAGGCACGCTCATCGAGCGAAGGTATTGGTCGTGAACCCCTTCCCATTCAAACAAGCCTGTTTGGTAGCGTCGGCCCTGGTTCAGAAAGTGAACATGCTGCCGGCTGCAGAGTATCCTCCCCGACACGGAACAGAGCAAGGGTTTCAAGATTTGACGCAGGAGGAAGGGGGCGATGTTGCACCATGCTGCACCCTTTGTGTTGAGCTTGCACAAGACCAATGGGATTGCCAGCATTTGGCGAACTTAGGGTTGCTTCATGTTTCCAACTGCTTGTGTTCCTTCTTCGGAGTGGTCAAATCTGAGCCACAGCCAAATGAAGGCACTTGAACAAGCAGGGCATGCATGTCTTTGCTTTGCGGCAGAAGTCTGGCAGGCGCTTGATGCTCTGTGTGTCAGGCTTTTGTCTTTGCCACCTTCGCAAGCGGTCTCCTTTGCCCTGCAGCTTCTGGACATGTGCTGGCCTTGAATGTCAGGGTCAAAATGTAGCAGTACACATGTCCATTGCGTTCATGTAGATGCAAGCGTGAATAGATGGATAAATGCGTTTTTACGCATATGTTTTCAATATGCCTTTGCATCGGCTCTGCATATTTGTCAGAAAGCATGCCGTCCTGCGTCTGCATGATTTCTGAACTGAAGCTTTGCTTGCGGCCCTGCGCTGCACAAACACAACAGTTGAGGTAGACTCTTTGAGATCGCTTGCAGATTGATTTTGAGACAGCGCACATTGCATGAATCAACCAGACTCCGCACCTGTTTAGAAGCGTGGCTATCAGCAATGGCACTTGCACAGAAGTCCGAAACCAGTCTTTTTGCCATCCTCACATATTGGGATGCGGCTCTTGTTGGCTACTTCTGAGGTTTGACCTGATCCAGCATCGAGCCCTCCTTTGCCAGATGCTCCTGACTCAACTACAGTCCTGGCTTTCCGCCGCGGAGGCGCTGGGGCGACTTGATGTTCTGTGCCGCCAGTTGTGTTTGAGACGCCACCATGGACGTGTCACGGAACTGAAGCCTTTGCCGGGAGAGCAGCGCTAAAAACTAAAGGGCTTGCAAGAACACAGAACCACGCAAGCTAAACATGCAGGCGTGTAAGCACGGGTAAGCATGTTGCTGCGAGTGTCCGCGCGCGAGCTGCGCGTAAGCGAGTTGCATGCTGAAGAGCTGCAACTTGAGCCGAGCGTACGCGAAGCCCAATGCTTTGTATCACAGTGCTGGCCATGTTGGATGTGTTTGGCACAACTGGGCAGGAAATCCACGTAAGCTCCGCGTAAGCTCTGAGGAAGCTGCAAGCTTCAGCTTCCAAGCGTGGCCCTGAGCCCTGGGACCCTGCCAGGGTGTACTTCACGTACTATGATTTTTGCTAAACAGTGGCTGTTTACGAGCTGGAGCTGCCAAAGAGCACTTGGTGCAACTTCGTACCCCGTATTGAATCGCACTTTGAGCATTGCGTTCGCACCAGAAAGGCCTCGCAGAAGCCAAAGCAGCATTGTGCCAGTCGTGCAAATATATTGCTAAGCATGTTAGCCTCGCGCAAACTCTGCCATGAAACACTTCCGGGCGTAAGCGACTCGCTATTGCAGAGGAATCTGTGGGAATTTTCAGCATGGCTCAGGAGGAGCGGCTCCGAGTCCTGCTGGCCTCGCTGCAACTCTTGGGGGAGGTGAGCGAGACGATGCGGCCCCACTTCCTCCAGCTCCTCAGGACGGTTCAGCGAGTCCAGAGATTGACTTTGTGTTGGGCTCTCATGGATGTGGGCATGTGACATGTGGTAGTGCTGGTGACGGTGGTATTGGCATTGGCAACGCAATCCGTGACGTTGTCGTCGGCGTTGCCGTCGTTGTTGCTGTTGTATGCTAGGGCTGCGGCGCGGTGTAATGTATATGTAGTGTCACCATCCGTTTGTGGGGGTCACCTTGGTGCAGCCAAATTCAATATTCCAAGGAATGTCTCAGGGGAATTGTTATGCAGGAGGAGCAATGTTCCTTGTTAGAGCTGGCCAGTAGAGATCAGAAGCAATGCCAGATGTCCTTGGCCTTTACTTACATGGCAAGACAGGCTTTCTACTCTGCACGACCAAATGCGGCCACCCAGTCACCTGCGCGGAACAAGACACCAGGAAAATAGAAAGAGTTTAGTTGTCGGAGGCCAACACAGGAGTTCTTTCTGAGTCGGCGAGCGAGCGGAGTTGCTAAGTTGCATGAGCCGAACAATACTTGATATTGCCGGTGTGCTGACTGGTCTTTGAAGAAGAGCTAGTTTAGACTGTTCAGTCACATAACAAATTCGCAGTGGCAATGAAACCACTTTTCTGCAGATGACCACTCGTGTATACACGTGCCATGTCATCGTATTACTCCGCAGCTCCGCCTAGCCGATGAAACGATTTGCGCATCAGAATCACCATGCAGAATGCGTGAAATTGCCTTGTCTTGATTTTGATGCAGGAAGCCAGAGCTCATTGTAGAGAGCCTCCTGATGAATGCGTCGTGAGACTCAGAGTGTGACCCCTGTGTTCGCTTGCTTCCAGAAGTATTTGCATTATTTATTGATGTGTGCCAATATGTGTGGTATATGCATGCATGCATGCATGTATGCGCGCGCGTGTATGTTTGTGTGTTGTGTGTGTGTGGCTGTGTCCGTGTCCGTGTGTTTGTCTGTGTGTGTGTGTTTGTTTGTTTGTTTGTTTGTTTGTTTGTTTGTTTGTTTGTTTGTGCGTGGGCATGCATACCATGCATACAATGCATGTCATGCATGCCATGCACATGCATGCCATGCATGCCATACATGCCATACATGCCATAGTGCATACCATACATACCACACATGCCATACATACCATACATTCCATACATGCCATACGTTCCATACATGCCATACATGCCATACCTACACACATCTACACGCCACCTACCCACCTGCCTGCCTGCCTGCATGCCTGCCTGCCTGCCTGCCTGCCTGCCTGCCTGCCTACCTACCTACCTACCTACACACCTACGTACCTACATGCATACATACATGCACGCATACATACACGCATACATACATACATACATACATACATACATACATGCATGCATACATACATACATACATACATACATACATACATACATACATACATACATACATACATACATACATACATACATACATACATACATACATACATACATACATACATACATACATACATGTACATACATGTGCATACATGTACATATATATATATATATATATATATTTATGTATATATATATATATATTCATCTATACACATACATACATTCCATACAGACAGGCAGGCAGGCAGGCAGGCAGGCAGACAGAGACAGACAGACAGACAGACATACATACATACATCATAAGTACGTATATATTAAGTGTGTATATATATATACATATTAAGCGTGTGGATGTATGTATGAATCTATCTATATACACACCAATTCGACTCCTCATCAACCCTAAAAGCAAGCTACATCAAGCTAAACCAACCCTAAACCAACCCTCAGCCAACTCCACTGGCAATCCCAAATCAACGCAAGGTAGTTGCAAGAGGAAGCGTTGCAATCCAAGCCCTGGCTGCAGGGCTTGCCACTCAGGCGGGTGGATTTGCTGAAGAAGTTCCTGGAAGACTTTCCAGAGCATGGCGCCCAGAATGGGGCAATTTTTGTTGACATTTCCCTTGATGGCAGGGCTCTTAACGGGAAGGCAATCACCCACATGTATGGAGGAAGAAATCAAACACGTTGGAGTGGAAGCTTATACGCATCCCCGCTCAAGCAAATGCTGGCTGGCAATGCTGCTGTTGGCATCCAACAGGATGCAGGTCGAAATGGGGGGGTCATCCACACTTCAAGATGTCCCACATGTTTCCTTCGAGCTGTCAGTGCTGCATTACAGCCAAGCAGTTGGTGCGTTGCGACAATGAACGGGTTGTTGGGTATTTCCACCTCTGGCAACGTGCAAATGGTTTTCCCCTTGCCAGTTGATGCTGGACGGCACGTGTTTCAAACAGAGAAGGGATGACAGAGTGAGGTATCGCCACGACGAGCTCATCCTTCGCTATGCCCGGAAGGCTTTGGCGTTGCCTCCGGTGCCCTGGAGCATTGAGCTGGTTTTTTGCCCCAACAAGCACTCGGGGCATGCAAGGTTCATCATCCTTCACTGGATTTTTCGGAGATCCCCACTTGAGCAGCATTATTTTTTAAAACGAGGGCACCAAAAGGAGAGGGCAACTGCCATGGTGGCCGCGTAGCCTAGTCCTTGGACCGCGTAGCCCGTAGCCTCCGCATAGCCATTTGCCCAGGCAACTTTCGATGATGGTCCGCACAGCCTCCCTGTTGCCGCCGCCCCTTTTGTTTTGAACTAAAGGCCTTTGTTGAAGTCTTGCATTTTGCAAATAATAGTGGTTCATTGGAAAAGTATTGCTACTTTTTCAACAACGACCAGCGATACTAATTATAATGCTGCTACTACTACTATCGCTAAATACTACTACTACTACTACTACTACTACTACTACTACGACTACGACTACGACTACGACTACTACTACTACTACTACTACTACTAGCACCACCACCACCACCACCACCACCACCACCACCACCACCACCACCACCACCACCACCACCACTACCACTACCACTACCACTACCACTACCACTACCACTACCACTACCACTACCACTACCACTACTAGGACACTTCCGCTTAGCCCCCCCGTGCGGCCAATTTCCCGTGGGGGTGAGAAAACCACGTAGCTCAAAACAATCAAGAATGCACTGTTTCAGTTTCCCAATGCTTCCAAATATGCCCTGCCTTATACGTAACGTTGAAAAATGACCACAGGAATGTTTTGTTAGGTAGTTGATTCCAGTGTATGGGCCCCTCACAAAAAAGCAAAAAGGCATGGATCACTTGACTCTGGCACATTTGCCCTGAACAGACGAATCCGATGATTGGCTGGCCCAAGGTGCTCACGGAGGAGGCCGAGGAGGCTTGCGAAGGGACTGCGGTTTGGGTGACAGGATGCCTATCGCAAAAGGAGTAGGTGCCAGCCATTTTGGAGGGTGCCTACTTTAGCGCACCGCTGGGTAGATAGAGACTGGATGACTCTTGCGCCACAACCCCAGGTTGAAATAGGCTGTTTGCAGAGCCTTTGCTAAATCAAAAGCATGAATTTCTTGTGGAGCATTGCCCTGAAAGCTTGGGAGAGTGAGAAGGTGACTGCAACCTCAGGCGAAACCTGCCTTGCAAGGCGACATTGTGAAACGCAGTCAAAGTGCTAGGAGATTGGTGACTGTTTGAACATTGCAAGATCATGTCCTATGAATCCATGATGTCACCTGCCATGTGTCTCTCTGCAAACCAGAAGCAACCTGGCAAGGCCTGCACAGGTGGAGTTCAGGTGCAACTCGTGAGAGGCAATGCTGAGTTTGAATCAATTGGGCACTCTCACCTGCCAGGAGGATGACGAAGTCACCAGGTGTCGCTGACAAGTGCACACCTTGCATCAAGCTTCCCCAGACATTTCAATCTTTCCGACGTTGACATGCGATGGGTTGCCAAAGGCATGCCCCCCGAAACATGTGATTTGGGTTGGTTCTACTCTTAGTTTTTCTCAAAATGGCTTGTGGTGGGAGGGACATGGCCCTGCACCCAGGGCCCACTGTCTGTTTTTGGCCAGGTCCCCCTCTTTATGAACAGACATGACACCGATGACAGCGATGGGCGTTTGGCATGGGGTGCAGCCTTTGACACATCAGGTCCGGATCCGAGTCGAACTCCCCGGGCAGGTCAGAGGCTGCTGCTGCTTCCCGTGGGTTGCAGGCGTTGTGGGGGGGTTTGCGTGTGCTGAAGGGTTCAAGGTTGACATGCAATGCAGGCGGTGATGTTGAGGCATGGCAGAAGGTCCCATAGAGATTATGACGCTTCATCTCCAAGAATTCATGGAAGCTGTCGGGGGCGTAGTTGATTGTTGTAGGAAATGACCCGGAGTGCAGCCAGCTGGTTTTAACGCGACCTGCCTCAAGTTTCCTGTCGAAACACTAGATAGGTTGGGGCAAGACTAAGAATGGCCACCAACGATTTGACATTGGATTTTAGGGTTTTAACCACGGGAACGACTCTCGGAACCATGACTAAGCCCCAGGCGGAAGCTGAGGGCCTTGGTGGGCCATGGTGCCTCACCGGCTCCAGCCAGGAACTGCTGGGGGTTGGTTCCGAGCGACTGGTGGTGTGCGTCAAAAAGTTGCTTGAGACCGTGAGCCGAACCAAAGAAGCAATGAAGGGGGTTAACTGTTTTGGGCAAGCCAAAAAGGAACATTCGAAGCTAGACAGTTTGGTTTGTCACTCGTAGCTGCAATTTGTTCTACAAAATATAAGTTTCGCCTCCGCCTCACCGACATTGCAGGCCTACTTTCTTATATGCAGCCATATGTGTCGTACAAGTGTGGTACAGTCCTGAGTCCGTATGTTGTTTTTCCCTGGGGAGTCCTGTAGGTGTTTGTTTGCAACTTCCTCGGTTTGGGAAAGGTGCCCTCAAGGCAGAAGTGGGGATCTTTGGTTTGAACTGTTTGCTCCTGTTTTCCAGGAGTTTTCCCTAGCTGGATTGTTTGATTGCTTGGTTGGTTGCTTCTTTGTTGGCTTATTTGTTTGGTTTGCTTGTTTGTTTGCCTGCTTGTTTGTTTATTTGTTTGTTTGCCTGCTTGTTGTTGTTTTTTTTGTCGGTTTGTTGATCTTCTTGTTTGCTCATGTGCCACTTTAACCACCATCAAGCCCCTTCAGCCCGCGAGGCCCCTCGACTGAGGGGGGCGGGGGATTGCTCCCTGCCCGTAGACTAAATCCTTGCACGCGGGGGTGCATGGACACTCGGCTGCGTAAAACCCATGGGGTGTTGTTTGATTCCCCCCGTCCCTGGCCAACATCCCCAGGTCGCTTTTGCATCCTGTTGATAGGTAATGGCATACTGACATGACAATGGCTCAAGAAAAACAAGCTGCTGCCCGTGCTGACTTTTAGGTAGATCCCACCTTTCAACAGGTTATCAGCCGTATCGCTGGTACCTTGTACAGTCAGCTCTCACCCGCGCCGCAATGGCGTCAAGCGGCGACGGATGCCACCCTGCCATAGCAAGGATGAACGAAGCAGTGGCCAACGAATTGATCAAGGGTGGGCATCCGGAAGGGAAACCGCCATGCAATCCGTCACAGCGCTCCCGAAGCAGTTTTCCTGAATCCGACCAAGGTGATGCGCTTGTGCCCATCACATCGGTCGTTCTTCCGGAGGATTCGATGGGAAGCGGAGGGGAACCTCTCGCCGGACATCAACCTGGGCAAGAGATGCACGCGCACATGACTAAGAATGAGACTCACCTTCATCAACATCATGTGAGCGCCCCGAATATATATCAACATAGCCAGACGGTGAATGTGGTCAACACAGGTCCGAGCACGGAGGAAGTGGCTGCCTATGCTTCGGCACGCCACGACGCCATCATCAATCAGCTCCAAGCCGGCCATGTTGAGGAAAAAGGCCGACTCTATCAGGACGCGGTGAACCACATCAATGTATGCCAACAAGAGGCAATGGCGAAAGAAAGAGAGTTTAACGAGGCAAGACAGCAGTGGGTTGCTCAACGCTCAGAAGCTGAACAGAAGTATGAACGGCTCAAATTGATTTGGGAAGTCACCCACAACAAGCAGAAGGAGGATGCGGACAGGAACGCTGCTGAAATGAGGGAGATTATCATGAAGCAGTCGAGGGACATTGAGGCACTACGTCATGAACTGAAATCTCGCAGTGAGCAGAGTAGTTCTTCTAATGTTCCGATTTTCGGTCTGAGGCCAAAGGCCTCTCCTGTACAGACGTTTCCTCCCCCTGGCCTGGATCTTAGTTCTAAGGTACGTGTCAGGTCAGCTTCCACCGAACTCCGCCGTGACGGGCCAGGTGCCGCCGATGATCTTGACGGGGATGCCGGGGATTACGAACCGACATCTCCGGCACAGGACCTTAACGATGGTGGCGGATGTCCATCAGGCGCAGGGAATGGCCAAGGCGGAGGCGGTGGGGAACCACCTGCCGGTAATCCCGATGATGACGATGATCCTGACGACGACGATGACGATGGGAATGACGATGGGAAGAAGAGCAAGAAGGACAAGAAGAAGAAGAAGAAGAAGGATAAAAAGAAGAAGAGCAAAAAGGACAAGAAGAAGAAGAAGAAGAGCCACAAGAAGCGAAAGAGTGGGTCTCCTTCCGACTCTCCAAGCTCTTCTTCATCCAGCTCCTCAACATCATCATCCTCATCATCATCATCGGAGAAGGCACGAGTGATCCGCAAGAAGCTCAACAAGATCTTGGGTAAGCAAGCGTGCGCAGTGGACGCAGACCATGACAAGCCCAAGGTCAAGGAGGCGGAGAGGATTGTTGTTCCATCCTTCCCACTTCCTGAGAGTTACAGGAATTGGCGCATCAAGGTGCGGGAAGCCGTATGTGCGGCATCCGACCGCCCTGATGACGCTTTCACGTGGATCAGCAGAGTGTGGGAACCCGCCGTCACAATCGAGGAGCTCAAAGATCCCGGTGCCTTCCTCACATTGGACGCCAAGTTGCTGTCCGCCCTCACCAACATCATTCAGGGTGACCTGGCGAGACAAGTCGACACCTTCAAGGAGATAGAGGCGCAGAAGAGGAATCCAGTTCGTGGGAGACAAGTGCTTCTTATGGTGCATGAGCACCTGAGCACGAACATCAAGCACGGAGCCACCTATGCCATGGAGGATCTCCTCAACGTGAGGCTCGTGAACGATAACCTCACTTCCTTCATGCGTAGCTGGGAGGGTGTTCTTGCAGGAATGAATGCCAAGACGCCGGATGACTCCATGCTTGAGGCTCTGTTCTACAACCAGCTGAAAAAGAGCAAGCAGATGCAACACCATTTGAATGTCTATTTGAGCGCCTCGGAAGAGTCCGCCGATCACTCATACACCTACTTGATCGAGTCTGTGAGGCAATACCTGTCTCGAGCAAGGCTCGAGCGCAACCGAGAACGGGTTGCTAGGCAGAACGGGGGTAGGCCAGCCGCACCCGCTGCTGAGAGCCAACGTGTGCCTAAGGGGTTTTGCATTGCATTTGTCAAGTATGGGTCGTGTCGGCGGGACAATTGCACGTACAAGCATGAACAGCCATCGGGCGATGCCAGGGGTAGGACCCCATCAAGAGACGCTAAGCCTAAGAAGGGTAAGGGTAAAGGCCGAACGAATAGCCCAAAGGGAAAGAAAGAGTGCCGATTCTACCCTAAGGGGAGATGTGACCGTGGTGAAAACTGCCCATTTGCTCACATCGATCCGAAGCCGGCCGTTCCAGGGTCAAGGGAGCCTTCCACAGACAAGCAAAAGAAGCAGGGAAAGGACCGGAAGCATCGCAAGTCGAGCAGGGATCGCTCCAAGTCGACCTCTCGATCCACTTCCCGTGACTCCAAGGGAGAGAAGAAGAAGGGTCACAAGGGAAAGTCTTCCGGAAAGCCTTCCCCTGCTGCTGTTTGTGTGTTGGGATGCTTGTTGTCTTCCATGATGAACGCCCCTATCGCTGAGGGGAACCTCATGTCGGACTGGAAGCATGTGCCTGCCCTCCCGAGCGTGCGTTTCAGCTCGAAGGTTGAAATGAATAGGATACCAGCACATGGTGAGCAGTTTAAGATCGCGGACAAACCGCGCGTGTATCCAAAGGTCTACCCAATCGACCATCAGTTTTCCCATGATGAGGTTAGCATAGATGATGCTAGACTCGAAGCAACCATGCTCGCTTTCATTGTGAGGCGTGAATTGGAAGGCCATCCGACTAGGTGCAACTATGAATGTGACAGTGAGATCGGATGCTGGCAATGCGCCCCGAGAGACATGGGCGCAAAGCCCGCCTTGGCGAGCAAGAGATTCTCTCCGAACTGTTCATGGATTATTGACACTGGGAGCGGGACTGATCTTTTTACACGTGCAAATTGCCCCGAATATGCAATTTATAATTCAAATGATCCCGTGATGTTGATGACTG